TGAACTATAGAAAGTGCTCTCCAGTTTTTCCTGGGAAGGTCAAAGCTGGAGGGGCATTGTACAGGGTCAGACACTAAACACTAAATTAAACACTAAATTAAAGTTATCTCCTAGAGATGATAAATGTCTTTCCCAACCATAGTTTATGAGATGAGGATCAGGTCGTCTGACTGGGAAAATCACATTCACGGGGAAAAACTACAGAATTTGCACAAATTAAAAATCATTACTCATTAGTTGGGAACCAGTTTGGTGTAGTGGTTAAGGCATCAGGCTGGAAACTGGGAGACCCTAAGTTCTAGGTCCATCTTTGGCATGAAGCTACCTTGGTTACCTCAATCTCAGTCAATCTCTCAGTCCGATTAAGGACACAAGGACAAACCACTTCTGAAATCTTGCCAAGAAAACTGAATAACAGACTCAGAAGGGACCTTAGAAGATCTTCTAGTCCAACCCCCTGCTCAGGCAGGAGACCCTACACTATTTCAGACAAATGGTTGTCCAGTCTCTTCTTAAAAACTTCCAGGGCTGGAGCATTTAAACTTCTGGAGGCAAGTCGTTCCACTGATTAATTGTTCTCAGGAAGTTTCTCCTTAGTTCTAGGTTGCTTCTCTCCTTCATTAGTTTCCATCCATTGTTTCTTGCCCTGCCTTCTGGTGCTTTGGAGAATAGCTTGACTCCCTCTTCTTTGTGGCAGCCCCTGAGATATTGGAACACTACTATCTTGTCACCCATAGTCCTTGTTTACATTAAACTAGATATACCCAATTCTAGTAACCTTCTTTATATGTTTAAACCTGCAGTTCCCTAATCAACTTCAGGGACTTGTCCAGGCAGTCATAAAAAAATCAAGACTACTTTGAAATCTCTCTCTCTCTCTCTCTCTCTCTCTCTCTCACACACACACACACACACACACACACACACACACACACTGCACAATGACAAAATCTATATAAAACTAAAAGCCTCTTCATAACTCAAGAAGATCATAGAAGGCAGTTATGATTCGTTTCAATATGACCCTTTGCCACAGATCACAAAGGCATCTGTGCCTTAATTGTTAGGCCTGTGAGTTGCCAACTGTGAGGACAATGCAAAAACAGAAATCTTATAGCTCTTTAAATCTAAATTAAAGTAAGGTCAAACAAAGGAATAGAAAACAGATATAGATTAAACCTCACAGTTAAAAATTATGATATTTTATACCAGCAAGAAAATAAAAACACTGAGAAGCAAAGGCAAAGGTGGCCAACTGGCATCAAACTAAACCACAAAACCAACTACTGAGTTGATTACAGGGTTGTATCCCCAAATCTCTATCATGGTTACCTGGAATTTGAACAAGTCTTATTTCATAAGGAAAGATTAGGTCTGAGACAAGCAGGAAATATTTTCTTGTTTGGCAACAAGTGTCAACTTAGCATCAAGTATATAAGATCAAAAATTTCCAACCTCAGGATGAAGTAGCAGAGTTTGATGGTTGTTATTCTAGTCGAATTAGCTTCTCAGATTTATTAAATAATTCTAGTTATAGGGATTTTTATAAACATTGTTGAACAGTGGGGGAAAGGTCAACATCGGGGTGCTGCACTAACTTTTAATGGATATCACTGCTTAATGGCCTTGCCACTATGTAAATAGTAAATTTATCTATAGCCATTTTACAGCCCCTCTCCAATTGAAGTCCTGCCTCTAGTCTTGCCCTCAAGACATCCTCCTTAAATTCCAAGTCTGCATTAACGGTAGTGTTATTTCTCATTATTACCTAGCTTATCATGGTAACTGATCTCTGTTATGCATCACTGTCAGCTACTGTAGTTTTTTTTTTTTTTTTTGTTTGGTTTGGTTTGATTTGGTTCCTGCAAAGTATCAGTTCCCAGTCATAGACTACCTCTAAACATAGAGACCCTTTTTACTGTCACATCTTCCCGTAGCTTATAATATAACTAACTTCCTCCATTAATTTGATAATCTTTTACATCCTTGAATTCCTGGGGCTTTCCTTTCATCTCTCTCCTTCGCACACAAATTAAAACAAAGTGTGTTCAGTCTGAACTCATCTTTGTACACTTCCTTCTTTTTGGATTCTTCTTCTTTAACTTCTTTGACCATCCCCCACCCCAAGAGTTCTGCAATGTTAAATTAGTCTTATTAAGCAGAGTTCAGAGTTGTTTCTCTTAATCTTTTGTCAGATAAAGTTAACATTATTTTGAAGGTCTAAAATTCATCATGTCTTTCTAGACTCAAATTATTCTGGAACTTTTCCTCCTAGGTCTTTTCTCTTTAAAGTCCAATATCCCAGTCCTCTACTAAATTATTTCTTGCTTTTCCATTCTACAATTCATTGAATATCTCATTCACTGCATTTTATTAACTGCTCATCAGGAAGCAAACTAATTTCATGTGCAGTTTGAAGGAAAGCCTTGCTTTGAAGTCATCCTTAATATAACAGGTTTCTTACTAAGCAGCGATATCCAAAGTTTGATAGTTTCATATTACTTGTCCTTCAAGTAATTGTAGGGATTAAGAAAATGTTTTCCAATAACTTCAAACTATAGAGTTGGACATTTTTTTGCAGGAAAACAAGCTGTGCCAACCTCTCCCACAAAAGCAGAAAATTATGTGTTTATTTATTTACTTTATTTATTATTCTTTTTACATTCTATTCAATTCCATTCCATTCCAATTTTCTATAACCCATTAGGACAAGATTCATCAGTGCATCTGCATTTGGAAGACAAAGGCCACTCTTTTGAAGACAACAATGTCCACATTCTGGATCGAGAGGACCACTGGTTTCAAAGGGGTCAAAGAGGCCATCTATGTTACGATTGAACAGCCCTCTCTCAACAGAAGCAGAGAGATATGACACCACCTATCTCTTGTTTACAACACAAGTCCTTTCAGCAGTTCCCAGAAGATTCCCTGCTCATTTGCACTATTTAGGTGACTCTGCGGGCACAGATAAACCTCCAAGTGACTCTCACAAAGAGAGCTAAGGACCAGATGACTGCAAATAATTCTTCCATTCTCCCACCATTCAGTCAAAATAGAAGAAGCTTCTTGGGTGAGAAGCAAAATGTCTTCAAGGAAAAACAAAAGTGCCTTTTGAAAAAGCACTTTTGGTACAAACTGAATCTAATAATCAAATACTGTATATCTCTAGTTGTTTGGGTAAAGCCTAAGTAAGTTTAACACTTAACATTTTAGTTTTAAGTGCTTTTACAGAACAGTAATAAACATTAATCGCTTAATTTTATTTCCATATTCTTCTTCTAGAATGCAAAAAAATGGGGAGGGGGGGAGACAAGGATAGGAATATCTCATCCAAAAGAGGAACCTTCAAAAGGAGATAGGGAAGCAGTTCAGCAAGTTCTTCTAGTTCTCAATCCTTTTCTAAATACTGTTTAGTGCTGAGATGTTTATTTTAATCAGTTCTTGCTTTAGCAATAATGAGCAAAGTGCTGGAAAGATACCTTATGGAGATGGTTGAATAATAATAATACATATAGCTGCTGGGCTGTTATGCTGAGCATGCAAAAAATAGGAAATTGCTGACCATCCTCTAAAACAGTGATACCCAACCTTTTTTACGCCGCGGCCCGGTATCCCCAACCTTTTTTATGGCGCGGCCCGGTACCGGCATTAGCTGGGCGCTGCCATCTTTTTTTGATGAAAAAGTGCTTCCGGTGAGCTTTCTACCCGGAAAAGCTCACCGGAAGCACTTTTTCATCAAAAAAAGATGGCGGCGCCCAGCAAGCCAGCGGCCCGGTAGGACTTGTTCCACGGACCGGTACCGGTCCACGGACCGGTGGTTGGGGACCCCTGCTCTAAAATAGTCCTCGACTTACAACCATTCTTTTAGTGACCATTCAAAGTTACAATGGCACTGAAAAAAGTGACATGACCATTTTTCACACGTACAACCATTGCAGTATCTCCATTGTCAGGAGATCAAAATTTGGGCGCTAGGCAATCGACTCATAATTATGACAGTTATAGTGTCCTGGGTCATGTGATTACCTTTTGTGAAGCAAAGTCAAGGTGGAAGCCAGATTCACTTAACAAGTTTGTGACTAACTTAACTGCAGTGATTCACTTAACAACTGTGGCAAAAAGGTCATAAAATAAGGCACAACTCACTTAAATGTCTTGTTTAGCAACATAAAGTTTGGACTACTTCTATTTGTTTTGGAAATATTTCCTGTTGTTAGACGGTTAGAGATAATCGTAGTGAAAGTGGTATTTTCATACCCTATAACGTTGGCACACTGGCAAAGAACTGGAGCAAAATCATGGGTCTGTTCCGAGTACCCATTTTTCCCAAGGTAGACTGCCACGAAATAGGAAGTTTTAATCGAAGAAGCACGTACCATTTGTGCAATCAAACTCGGGAAGAAAGGCGGCGCTGAGGCTGAGCGGCTTTGCTGCCTAGCGGTCCGTCAGGCGTTCACCCGGTCGGAACAACCTGCTTGGTTTTTAGGCGGTGCGATTGCGGTGTGTGTGTGTGTGTGTGAGGCTTTTAAACCGGAGCCACCAAAATCGGAGTACCGTCCCTCACCGGCTTGCCGAAAGCTAAGAAATAACGGGGTGGGGTTGAAAGGAGCCAGCGAGGGTGGCCGGGACTTGGAGCCCAATTTGATCTGGTTCCTGAGCTCCCGTCAAGGACCGAGTCCCGTTTTCCCCAAGGATGCCTCTCATTAGCATGGGGGCGGGCGGAGAGGGCCAAAACTGAGAGAGACGGAGAGAGGGAAGGAGAAAAAGAGAAAGGAGGATTGAGAGAGGGAGGGAAAGGAAGAGAAAGGGGGAAGAGGGAGAAAAAGAGAAAAACAAAAGAGGGAGATAGGGAGAAGAGACAGACGGAGGGGGGGGGGGGAAGGGGGAAAGAGAGGGGGGCGAGGCAGGGAGAGAGAGAGAGAGAGAAACGGGAGAAGGAGGGCAAGAGTGAGGTGGAGAGGAGAAAAAAAAAGAAAGGGGGAGAAAGAGAAGGAGAGATAGAGTGCAATGACACTCGAAGCTGCCTGGCTCCTGTGCTTCGCCTTGGCCTCCTGCTCCTCCTCTTCGCTCTCTTCCTCTGGGGTAGCAGGTAAGTCTTGCCCCAGGCTCAGGTGGGACGGGGAGGTCGATCCGAGGCAGCCCCTCCCCGCCCGCCCCGCCGCCAAATTTGTCCTCAGAGGCGCCGCCGCCTTTTCTCCGGGCTGGGGCAGCGCCTCTCCTCAGAGTCCTGAGAAGGGCTGCCCGGCTCCGCAGCCCTCTGGACGCGCCCAAGGACCAGACCGCGGCCGGCGGGCGGGAAGGCGGGCGAAAGTAGGTTCCTTCCCCCCCCCCCCACCTTGCAGAGCTGCCTCGTCGCTTCAACCCTCTCCCCAAAAGCTGTCTCCCGTCCCTGCCCCACGCACCTCCGTATTTTCCTTGGGGAGAAGGTGGGCTTCGCCGTCTATCCAGGGGTTGTTGCCCCCGACCGAGCGTGTTTTCGGGGTGCGCTCGGCTCGCGGAGGGCTGACCCTCGGGAAACCCGGGTGGGTAGGTGGATGGGTTGGAAGAGCTCGGGAGGCGGCAGGTGGGACGAGAAAGAGACGGAGGTTAGGCGTCCTTTCTTCCGTTCACTGAGGCGAGAGCCCCTTCGGATGAGAGGGTGGACCTGGATTGGGAAGGGAGGGGGCGGGGGGCAAATCAGACGGAACTTGATTTTCCCTGCAGTAAATGGGGGGGAGAGAAGGAAATTCAAAAAAAGATTTTCTTTTTCTTTTGGAGACTGCCTGGACAAGTCCCTAAAGTTTTCTTGGCCAGGTTTTTCAGGAGCAATGGCAGTTTACCATTGCTGCCTTCTTAGGGCTGAGAGAAAATGGCTGGCCCCAAATCACCCAGCTGTTTTCCTGCCTAAGGCAGGACTAGAACTTACTGTCTCCCTGATTTCTAGTCTGGCCTCTTAACTGCTGTCAAAAGCAACCATTTTTCCTCTTGGTGGTTGAGCTGTAGAAGGGGAGGGAGTGAAAGAGGCAGGTGCATCCCTCTGGGAGGGAGAAGGGTGGTTCTTAAATAGGATACATGAATAAAACTGAATAACCAAATTCCATGTTACATTACTGCTATGTAAATTGATGTGACTTTTAAAGAAAAAAAATGGTGATCTTCTTTTTTGAAAGAGGGTGGAGGGAATGTTAATCTCTCCTGCATTCGATGAAAGTTGCAATCTTGGACAATGCCGGACTGATCTCTGTTGAATTTGACTAGGCCTGTTTCTGAATAAACATGCCCTGAACTCAGATGCCAGTCACTTAAATTCATTTTGTGACATTATTCTTAACCGCCCAGATTCCAGACCTCCCTCCATTTAATAATAAACTAACCAGTGATTTAAGCAATCCTAGTTAGTCTAAAATAGTGTCCATCAGGCTATATTTTCTCTCTTGCCCAGAAGTAATTAACCAAAACAAATAAGGCAGTGAGTAGGTAATTAGTTATCCATTAAATATTTAGGGGTATTCTCATTACAGTATTGTACTCCTTTATTCTGGCTTTTTCCCAACCATTTCATGACATGATTCATTTTTTTTTCTTTTTCAGCCATCCAGCAATCTAAGTTAAGTTGAAGGTTTGTGTCTGGTGGCTGAATTGTACCTTAAATCCAGATATCTCCTAATTTCTATGTCCTAAATCTTACAAGAACGTTGCTTGGTTTTTTTCAGTCTAGCTGTGTAGTTCATTAAAGTCAACCAACCCTGTGAGAGAAACTAATGCTGTTCTGATTGTTTCTTATTCATACACCACAACACGCTTTGCTGATATAAAACATAAACAAATACATCTTGTATTATAAATGGGGTGATGGATAGTGCCTACATAAGAACCTTCTCTTATGCAATATTAACATAAATAAATCAGCATTTGATGGAAATGTAATCTTTCATCTCTCGCCCTTCAAATTTTGTGATGAGAGTGATCATCCCAGGCACAACAGAAATGAAGGGCTTGGTTGATCAAAGCAGAATGATGTTGATGGGGTGGAGAGATGAACAGAAAGGAACATGTTGAGGTGGAAAATCTGCCTGCAGCACTGAACTCTCCACAGCCTCACATTAATCTTCCTTCACTTCATGGCAATGTTCTGCTTTCACAGGCGAGATGGGGCAATCTTTGTTCTCACCAGCTGTTGTCATGGGAAAGAGACAAATAAATGATGAAGTCAACAGACAGGAGACTTGGGAAATGGACTTGAACCAACCATCAGAATCAGCCATAGGAACCCTGAGCCAACCATGTAAGGTTTGTTTGTATATATATTTAGAATCAAAAATTCAATTTACTGACAAATGGCATCCCAGGTGGGAAAGAAAAGTTGGAATGACTACAGAGAAGCAACCACCATTTGTTCTTCTGCCTGGGAAAATCTCAGCTTCAATGTACCAATGTTGGTTAAAGAAATTTGTGTGTGGAAAATGAAACTGGTAGTCATAATAATCATTCTTTGCTTTGTCAACCATATTTCATGATTCCCATGCTTGTTGCAAATAAATAAGGTAGTTTGCTACAACAAGGATATTTTTTTAAACCCACCATATATCTGTTGAAGAAGTTTGTAATTTACAGTATCTAATTTGCTTAGGAGAGCTAAGTGGACAAACTTCAAGACATGTAAATTTTATTTACAAATTAAAAAGGGAAAAAGAAACCTATAGATGGTAGTTTTAGAAACTGAGAATCCTGCTGCATATTCCATAAATTCAAGTTCATTAGCAGTGTAGTCTTAAACATTCTTGCTTTAGATGTCACACCCGTAAACATGCCATCTGAATAAACATGATCCAAGGTAGATTCAAGGTCTTTTGGAGAGTATTTGAACAACTGTTTTTGCCTTTAAGTCTAAATAATTATCCATCACCCATGCAAAGCTGGTGACAGGCCTTAAATAACGCAAATGACATTGTCAACAAACCTCCACAAAGCTTCCCATGGATGGGAAAATTAAACATCATGTTTGTCAGATACATTTAAACACTGAGACCAGGATATGATGTGAACCCTGCTCCCCGGATGCTCCCTGGACATCCAGTTTTCTTTTTTTAGAAACAATTTTGTTTATAAATTGTGTTTTTAATTTGTAACACAAACAAGGGAAAAATGTTAGATCTTCATGCTCCTGTGTGACCACTGCAGAGCTGCCTCCTCCCTCTTTGTGGAAATGAAGCCTTAGCTGAAATATGTCAGAACATTCCTTGTGGTTCACCTTCCAAGTTTGGCATATCTGGGTGGACTTGCTATACATCTTCAGTCTTCCTAAATCTGGAAGCAAATCTGTCCTCCATATTTGTTGCACAACTCTCAGTCCTCCCAGACAGGAATGATCAAGATGGCTGATGAGACTTTTTGTTGTCTACTGGAGTATTGCCTTTTGTAGTTATTTGATTCTGAGATTTCACTCTGATGTTAATGGCTAAGACTAAGAATGGCTTTGGAAATGAAGTATTGTCACAAAGTCAAGCCAGTCCCAGCCGTTGCTGAGATATTGCCACAGTGCGTTACCGCCTTAGAATGACTATTTCAAGTATCTCAATGTGCTGTGCAAGGAAGACAAAGGAGAGGCAGGATAGGAAAAGGCCAATTCTGACATATACCAGATCACCCAGATAGTTCAGAAGCACAAAGCCACACAATATTTAATTTGTGTAAATATATTGCCTGTCCCAGTTCAAAGGCTTTGCAATTAGTAAATAAAAGGACAAGTAATTCTCACATTCAAAATCCTGCACCCATTGCTCTCCTGTCCAACCCGCTTCCCACAAACACAGCTTTTATTTCCAAAGTTTGTTTGTTTTTTTACTAAGATTGTCTTTTCAAGGAAGACTTCAGTGAGGAAGGCCCCATAATATTGTTGAGCTTTCAGAACTCACATGATAGACCATTGTTCTCATCAGATCTCATTTCAACTCAGAGAGCACCAAGGACCCCTCATTTATAACAGTCTTCCAATATTTGAGGGGCTGCCACAGAGAGGAGGGGATCAGGCTATTTTCTAAAGCACCCAAAGGCCAGACAAGGAATAATGGATGGAAGCTGATCAAGGAGAGATTTAACCTGGAAATAAGGAGAAACTTTCTGACAGTGAGAACAATCAACCAATGGAACAGAAGTTGCCTCCAGAGGTTGTGGGAGCTTCATCACTGGAGGCTTTCAAGAAGAGATTGGACTCCCATCTGTCAGAAATGGTGTAGGGTCTGCTCGTGTGTGTGGGGGGGATTGGACTAGATGACCTACAAGGTCCCTTACAACTCTGATTATCTGTTATCTGTTATTTCTCATCCTTTAAAGTCTCTCTTTTGTTCATGTGTGTGTGTGTGTGTTTTGGAAGACAGGGACACTGCCTCATGCTGGAAAATCGCTGAAGACATTCAACAAGGATGCTTATGGGTCTGGGGGTGCCACTCCTTCCCAGAACAAGTCTCTTCGAGGTAGCAGCATTAGCTACATTGAGAGGGCTGAGCACCCAAAGGACCAGTTCCTACCTCGAGATGAGTGGAATCCCTTGGAAGTGAAAGCATTAAACACATTCCAGGTACTCTTGGATAAAAGGAAAAATATGAAAAAATCAGTGGAGAATCAGTCAGGCTTAAGGAAGCAGTCCTTTCAGGATGCCAAAGGCCTTCCTTCCCTCAGTCATGAGGAGGCATCTCTCTCTACCGCTTACCTGAGTCAAAGGAACCAAATCAGCAGAAACCGGCTCCGCTTGAAATCTGCCAACAGCATGTCTACTTACTTCCATCCACCTGGATATCCCCACTGCCAAGGCAGACTTCTGGCGGAAGCATCTACGTTGAAAAACACAGGGTCAAATGTTGGTCAACACTCTGGTGACTTGAATCACCTCAACCGGCCTGGGAAGAAAAACCCTTACCACAAATTCCATGGTTTCTTCCGGGATATCACTAAACCCTATTGGCTCACAAACCGACATACTCCGAGCTTAATGAAAGACTTCAGCACGTTTAAGATTGGTAAGCAGCTTGATGGCATGTAATCAATCAAAATAGGTAGTCCTCAATTTACAACAGCTCATTTAGTGACTGTTCAAAGTTATGACGTCACTGGGTAAAGTGACGTATGACCATTTTTTTCAGTTATGACCTTTGCAGCATCCATGGTCATGTGCTCAAAATTTGGATGCTTGGCAACTGATTCATATTTATGTCGGTTGCTGTGTCCCGTGATCATGTGGTCACCTTTTGCGATCTTCTGACAAGCAAAGTCAGAAGGGAAGCCAGATTCACTTAACAACCAGGTTACTAACTTAATTATTTCAGTGATTCCCTTAACAACTGTGGCAAGAAAGGTCATAAAATGGGACAAAACTCACTTAACAAATGTTTCACTTGACAACAGAAATTTTGGTCTCAATTGTGATTGTAAGATGAGGACCACCAGCATTCCAGATCCTTCAACACTGCATATTTATATAATTTTAAATTTTTGCACTTAACAAACTTTTATATTTGCACTTTTATATTTTTCCTATTCTTTAAAAATAATGTGTTTTTCCCCTCCTTTATCACCTGTGACATTAGGTTACCACCTGGAGGGCAGGGGAGATAACAGGATAGTTCTACTCACAAACTCAGATGCTATACAGCCAGGAAGCAGTGCTATAGCAAAACTATTTCATTTGTACCCTTTTAAATCATTAGAACATCAGCACAGTGGGAATACCCACCCTCTCTACATACTGTCTGTTAGGAGGGAACCTGCGGGAAACTGACACTTTAGGCATTCCCATAGAAGATAGCGGTAGTGGCAGGAATCACGGAGCTGCTATCCCAGGACAGAAAGCAAGGTTAAGTTGTGAAGATCCTGAAGGTTTTTGGGAGAGGACACTTGAGATCTTCACCTACCATCCAAGAAGTCAGCTTTGCTCACTGTGGTAATTGGACAAGAGGAATGCATGTAGGCATTTATTTGCTCATTAACATTGAGACAGAACCAATCACAGTCATCTCCAAAGCACCTGAGGGTAGGACAAGAAGCCATGGGCGGAAACTAATCAAGGAGAGAAGCAACTTAGAACCAAGGAGAAATTTCCTGACAGATAGAACAATTAATCAGTGGAACAACTTGCCTCCAGAAGTTGTGAATGCTCCAACACTGGAAGTTTTAAAAAAGATGTTGGATAACCATTTGTCTGAAGTGGTGTAGGGTTTCCTGCCTAGGCAGGGGGTTGGGCTACAAGACGTCCAAGGTCCCTTCCAACTCTGTTATTCTATTTTTCTATTCTATTCATTTTAGATCATGTTTTCTGAGCAGAAAATCATTTGCAAATTTTAATCATCTGTCAACCTCCCATCAGAGTTTCCTAAAAATATTGGATTTGGGGGTTCTACTTTTGACTCAGAAACAAGAGGCATGCAATGGTCCTTGACTTGCAAACATAACGGATCTTGGAATTTCCATTGTAAGCCATGATGGTCTTAAGTTAAGGCACCCACATGATCGGACCCCATTTTATGGCTTTTTTTTTTTTGTAGCAGTCATTAATCAATATATTCTTATGGGCATTTTTCTGCAGGAAACTGGTTAAAAAGGCCAGAAACCAACAGAAAAGGTAAATCATGGTCATGTGACTATGGAACATTGCAACAGGCCATAAAAGTGAGCCAGCTGCCAAGAGCATGAAATGTGGTCTTATGACCATGGGAGGGCATACAGACATGGGAACTCCAAAACCAGATTGTAAATACTTTTTGAGGGGGAGTGTGTCAATTGAAAATTTGGTCACTAAGCGACTAGTCATTAACCAAGGACTACTTTTATAAGTTGCAGCTCTCTGATAAGCTAAGGTATAGCTGATGCATACTAGAAGCTTGAGGCTCTCTGAGCCATATTAGAAGTAACTAAGAGTCGTCAGAGATCAATTTATCCATATGTTTCATTGCTTGATTATTGTAATTATTAAGGTGGATCCTTTTCTCTCCACATACCCCCATACTCACTTCTGTACATTTTGGATTTATTATAGATCATGTTGACAATCTAGAAGTATGCTTGACCGGTTGCAAGAGGGAACCTGAGGAAATAGAGGCTTACTGTAGCAGTGAATTTGGTAAGATGATCTTGTTAACTGGTGGGCATAGTTTATGCAGTCTGTGTATTCATGTTACTTGTAAATATAATTTCTTTTCCAAGTATTTTTGGCAATCGTTTCATAGAGCTATCAAATAAATCATCTCAGTGGGCCAGAGAGAAGAATTTATTCTCTTCCTTTCAAAATCGGGGATAGAGATAACATCCAATTTAACTGTACTGTATACTGTTTTAGACTCTATTAAATTCAGTTGGATTAAATGCTGCAAGTTTACCACTGCTAGGATAGATTTATTGTGAACCAGAATTCAAAATATACATGAGAAAGCTAGGAATAAGCAAAAATAAATTTTACAGTGCTTAAAAGATCTTGCTTGTTGGAGGATGCTCTTACGAAATGCTGAGGACATTTCCTTTTCCACATTCTCACAGTACTTAATGGCATTTTAACAATATTGCATGCACACTGAAAGTGATTTATATACGGCAATGCTTTTAGAGATAGCCTTCCTTCATTGCAAAGTTAAGGGCAGCAACCCACTTAATTTTCTACTCTTTTCTTTATAAAAAGTGGTGAATGGAATTGTTCATGATATTGCCATGATATACAAAGGAATGTATTTGGTGACCATGCTGGTGAACAACAATGGACTCTACAAGACAAATCGGCTGTTCCTCAACCCTGATGGCTACTTCTTTCGAGTTCAAATGCTTGTTGTGGATGCCCTGAATTGTAGCAAACACTGTCCAGACTTTCAACTTGGTAAATAGAGTCTCTCTCTCTCTCTCTCTCTCTCTCTCTCTCTCTCTCTCTCTCTCTCATTCTCTCTCTCTCTCTCATTCTCTCTCTCTCTCTCTCTTTCTCTCTCATAACAGATAACAGATAATCAGAGTTGGAAGGGACCTTGTAGGTCATCTAGTCCAACCCCCCACCCAAGCGGGAGACCCTACACCATTTCTGACAAATGGCAGTCCAATCTCTACTTGAAAGTCTCAAGTGATGGCGCTCCCACAACTTCCGAGGGGAAGGTGTTCCATTGGTTGATTGTTCTCACTGTCAGAAAGTTTCTCATTATTTCCAGGTTAAATCTCTCCTTGTTCAGATTCCATCCATTATTAGTCTCATCTATCTATATCTATCATCTCTACATCTATCATCTATCCATCCATCCATCTCATCTCTATCTCTTTTCTCTGTCTCAACTATCTATCTATCTATCTATCTATCTATCTATCTATCTATCTATCATCTATCTATCTATCATCTATCATCACCTCTCGTCTCTTTCAATCTCTACCTCTTTCCTACCTCTATCTAGCTCTATCTTTATCTCTGTCATCTATCATCTCTATCTATCTATTACCTACCATCCATTTCATCTATCAACTCTCTGTCTCTCGCTCTCTATCTTGTATGCCACCCAACTGCCAATGTCTCTTTAGAAGCTCTGTAAAGGTCAAATGTAAGGGGCCAAGCATATCACCAAGGGCAACGTATAGTATTCCACATAGTAATTACCAAACTGGGAAGGCCTTTTCTGTAATTCTCACCGCCTCAAATCTCATTGAATTGGGAACTTAAGCACTTGTTCTCTAGATCAGTGTTTCTTAACCTTCACAACTTGAAGATATATGGATTCCAATTCCCAAAACTCCCCAGCCAAACAACCTTCCAAAGTCTGACACATCCTAGCTCAGGGCCATCAGGAAGGGTGGAACAGCAGGAAGAAAAAAGGAAGGAAGGAGGAAGGAAAGGAAGGAAAGATCTACTCATTAGTGTGTGCAGTGTCTAAATGCAGCTGGCCCCTAAAAATCCTTTTTTTCTTGCAGGCTTGCAATTTAAGAAACAATGCAAAATGAAAAGAGGATGGAGGTTGAAGGAGAAAAAATCCTTGTTATTCATGAATCTGGGTCAAAGAACAAATAGACTGCTCTTCTCTTTTTGTTCTACTTTTACTGCAAGCCTTAACGTCTTTAATTGGTAGCAAGTAAGGGGAAGGAACTCTCAGAGATACATCCAAACCAAACTAGACTCAGTGGCAGGGAGTTACAACAAATCTTTCCAGAAACTGTCCAAAAAAGGGTTACAATGAAGATAGCCAACTCTCCTTCATTCCATGGAATCTGCTGCATTCAGCGTATACTAACACGCTGTGTAATTAATGGGAAATGACAGGCCTAGTATGGAGATGAAGAAGTCCCTTATGGAAATGTCCCATTGTCCTCAGTGATTATGCAGATTATGCAGCCCAGTTTTATAATATGGCCCTGAGAAGTTCAGAATGAAGAGTTGTGCTGTTTACCTTAGTTCCTACCCTTAGGATTGAAGAGGGGAGAGAGAAGGATTGAAGGATATTATTGCAGAGAGAAGGATTGAAGGATATTATTTTCTATGGGCAAGAACCTTAAATCGGAAATGGGTGACCTTATTCCCCTTGCGGATAAACATGTTCCAGAGGCACTTCTGAGATTTAGCTTTTCTTATTTTGCAGGCGGCAGGTACATTGTGATGGGCCACCTCTATCACCGGAGAAGGCAACTGCCTGCGGTTCTGCAGGAGCGTGTAAGGGGCCGCCTGAGGCCGGGAGATGGGCTGCTTTGCAGAGGCAACAGCTACATGAAGAGGTTCAACAGAAGGCGGGATCAAAAGGTTCAAGGGGCAGCTCGGTCCAAGTGTGGATGAGAAGGCAACTCAGCCATCACTTTCTCTGTATCTGAAAGCAATTTTAGAGTAACAGGTAGATAAAAAAGTGTTCTCTGGTTTTGCTACAGGCCGATAAGACTTTTGGTCTGAAAAATCGCTTGCTTTTGCTATTAAACAAGGAACCGGAGCCTGCTGCAGCCTCTTAATCTTTTCACCCAGTTATCAAGGCATGATATTTACTCCCTGTAATTAATTTCTATTAACTGATCTGCTTGGTCAGATCGAAGTCAACCAGTCACCCATCAAATGCTTTTCCAGGTACCTTTAGGGATTATCTTCTATATACATCATGGTTTTTAGCTCCTAGCTAATAATTCTATTCCACAACATCAGTACAGGTGGTCCTTGCCTTATGACTGTAATTGACATTAGGAATTACAGTCATATGTCATGACAGTCATGAGTCATCAGCTGACTCATTTTTACCTTTTTTTGGAATGATTATTAAGCAAATGCCATAGTCATTAAATGAACCCATTGTCTACTTGGGGCTTTTTTTTTTTTTTTGCTGGAAACCAGAAGTAAATGCCAATTTCTGGCAAAACTGTTGTAAATCACAGTCACATGACCACAGGGCACTGCACATAGCTGTATAAATGTGGGCCGGTTGCTGAGCACACAAAACACAGGCATGTGATTGCGGGGGGGGGGGGGGGGAGACTGATGTTGGAACTTTGAAACCAGGTTGCAAGTCCCTGTTCATAGGAGCATCATCACTTCAAACGGCCACTAAGTGAAGCGTTTTCTGTGGTTCTGCATTCATTTCTAAAGTTTAAATTGTGACTTTCACAACTGTAAAAAAAAAAAAGGAAAATGTGATACAAACTAAATATATAAAGTGTTAGCAAATGGTTGGCTAGTTTTATTAATGGGTTCATAAATGCTATCGCTAACATAGAAGTAAAGCATTCAAACGTTTTGAGAGATATTTATATAAATGATGTGAATTCAAATGTAAATGCTATCTGACAAGAATGTCAGCGATGTAATAAAAATTGTTAATACTCCTACAACTAGTTACAATATTGTTATCAGAATTGTAAAAACTAGGAGGAGGAAAACTGAAATGGTTGGAAAAATGCAGACACCAATGACAATGAGCAAATGAATTGTGGGCTGGAATAATTTAGCATGAAAGTACTTGCTTTAATAATCTAAAAGACACAGTCATTAGCATTCTCTATCATTATAACATTTTTTACCCAGCCAGCTGTGCCTGGAATCATTTAGGAGCTTTTAACACAGTACAAGCAAAACCTTAATAAATGCCTCTTCACTTCAGATATTAGGATTTCAAACAGGTTCATGTATTTCTAACAGAAGCAGGAAATATTAAGTCCATATGGTGTTATGTCAGTGCCAAAACTTTTCCAATGAAAAGTTTTCAGTGTCTTCAACGAAAGCTCTTTATTATCACGAAATAAATTTCCTGGAAGCAGCCTGCAAGTAGGAGGAAGAGGGGAAGTAGCTTGTGTCCAATTTATTTTCGCATTCATTTCCTTATTTTGCTTTCTGTATTTAACAGATACATCTACCCGTACGTTTGTGTCTGTGTGATGCTAGAGTCTTCCATTACAAGCTTTTTTTGTAGGAGGAAATCTACAGCACCAGTTTTAAAAAGAGTAGTTGTAATGTAAAAAATATTAAATTTAAACACTATTAAATTATGCTAACAACCAATGTATGAAGTTTTAAAAATTATTGGATGTCAATCACATGAAAGCTTTGATTCACAGGTTTCACTTGCATGTCACTTTGTTCTTGTCTAGAATTAAAATTGCCTCTCTTTAATGTGAGGAAGCACAGTGTGTTCATTACATGATTGTAAGGTTTTCCCATGGATCCATAAATATGTTCCATAGATAAGAAAGGCTCAGAGTCTAATTTTATATTTCCCAAAACCTATGCTGTGCCATCCATGTGATGCTGAATTTCTAGCAAAAAGGAAGTCAATCCATAGATATTGGGGATCTCAGCCCAAGGGCTCTGAGACAATTAGTAACGTTTATGTACTTTAGGGCTTAAGAATGTTTTAAAAGCACTTCGCAATAATGATCTAATTCAAATGGAGCAATCAGTTTCCTATTGCACACCTAAATCACCTATACAAATACAGGCTACTACTTGTGGAAGCTTTTAATCTCTCACAACTGAAAGGGAAATTTGTTTTAAGCTGCAACCCAAGCCTATATCAACTCTAGTTTACAAAGTGAGAGCTCTGTGCCATTTATCAATATTATTCTCCTACTGTAGGTTATGTATATGCTTTAGGCTGACAGTGACTTCCTTGCCTCAGTTTCCCCAGTCTCTCCACACAGTCTCTCAATGAATTTTACAAAATTATGTCTGGAAAAAAATCTGTTTAGTACTGGGCTGTAATAGATAGATAATTTCTCACTGTTCCAGAATCATAGATTGAGACTTAGTCTATTAATAAAAGACTGGCAAAAGCAACCTTTCTACCTGAGGAGAAGAAAAGTTAAGGCTTAGCAAGGAATTGTTTTAGGTCTAGGGAAATGCTGTTCTTTTTCTCAAGTTACAAACGATTCCTTAATATAATACGGTAGTTTTTCAAATTTTTAAAGCATCAGAAATTTAAAAAAAACCTGCCTCAAGTCTTTTACAATGTGGTATAAATGAGCCACATTTCTTTGTTTTTTCTACCTTTTGAGTCCTGTTAAATGTTTTTAAAAGGAAATGATGGTTTTGTGCATAACAACAGCTATTGTTTTCTTTGGCGATGGTAATTCCATGTTTCATTGCATTGAATTCTACAACATTTATGTATTCACATTTGTATATTAACGTGGGTGAGATTGGAGTATTTAAAAATTAGGAAATAGTTTTCAGTTCAGCTTTAAAAACCTATGGTAGCTAAAAGTAATTCACTTTGGGTGCAGCTTTGCATGGTATTTTTTCACCAGCAGTCCCTTAGGGATCCCCAACCCCTGGTCCATGACCCCTTACTGGGCCATGTCTGGAACGGGCGGCATGAGTAGCTAGCTAGCGTACGTGTGTGGGCAGCTCAACTTGCATGAATGGTGGGTTGGTGTGCATGCACGCAGCTTGACTTGCGCAAGCGGCAGACCGGTTCCCCTTTCTCTCGGCCGGACCACCAAGCCCTAAAGATTGAGGACTGCTGTCTTAAAACTCATTAAAAACTTTATAAAAAAACAGCAATGAATCTGCTTCAAGGCAATTGCTGATTTATAATCTCCCTATACTAAGCTATAATAATCTCCCTATACTAAGCTACCGCCTAAAAATGCTCCTGATCTCTAGCCTAGAGCCATTTCATGAGGATAACTGACTCAGTGGTATCAAAAGCCACATTCCAGCAAATTTAAGAGTTGCAAAACAGTGGAGACCAATTCTGTTCAACGTTCAGACCTGAATCCAGAAAATAGATGCCCTAGTTCAGGGTTTCCCAACCCCCCGTCTGTGGCATGCCAACAACAGGTCTGCACAAACAAGCCAAGTCCCATTTGTGGGATGTAGGCAGCATGCAAAACCACACCCCTTCCGGTCCACGGAAAAACCATTCTCCATGGAACCGGTCCCTGGTGCCTAAAAGGTTGGGGACCACTGATCTAGGTCACTAGTCTTCTCCAAGGTGGTTTGCTTCACCCACCTCTGCCAATACTACAGCAATTTGTAAAAATCTTCCAGTCCAAAGTTTGCTTCTTGCCTTAGCTTCTTCTGCTAGTGTAGCCAGCTAAATATGTAAACCAGGAATTATTGTTTATTATCCAGGTTGGTTATTTGCAAAAGCAGGTATAAAAGCAATGATACTTTAAAGGATGTGATAAGCCAGGATTGCTATTTTAGTCATTGTGTGAAAGAATCCATCTGAGATTTAAATAGAAGGAAAATGAGAGCAAATAGATTGCATATACTACCATGTGGTTTGTTCACAAAAGAAAAGGATTCTAGAAACTCAAGCAAATATTATTTTCTGTTAAAATAAGTAGCAATCATTAATAAAACATTGGAAAACATTTATTTCAACAGCTAGTATGTGCATTTGTGTGTTTGAGAGAAAATTATAGTGAATAAAACTATCATGTATCTAAAAGCATGTCACACATTAAGTAATTCACCTGGATAAAATGCTTTCCAATTTAATGGTTTTAATTTAATCAAAAATTAAAATAAAGGGTTAATCATATGTCCAGTTCAGGCACCCAGAGCAGCAATTAAGAGAGCTTTCTTACCTTATCCAGTTTAAACTGAGCATTTTGCCAATAGTGGTACAAATATTTTGCAGCTGTTCAAGACAGTACAATTCCAGCTTACGTCTCATTACAAAAACAAAGCAGTAAATGAGTGTTTGGAAGTTTGTAGCTGTAACACCAAATATTTCCATTTGATTGAGGAACTGTGAATAAAAATTGAGCTCATTTGGTCTATGACACTTGATACCCAGTGAGTGATTTTAGTGAGGCATGAAGTGATCAGAAAAAAAAAGTATTCTGCACATTGTTTCATTTAAAAACTGAGTAAAGTATAATTTCTTTATTCCTTTTACAGAAGTGGTATTTAAAATGTACACACATTACACTGGCTCATAAATAAAGTTTTTCAAAAAACTAAAAATTACCATAGTTGGTACAGCTAAGAATTGTCTTCATATATTACAAAGCAGTAGGAAAAATGATGAGGCTTGGTAAAAAGTGTATGAAAGTAGCATTTTCCTCATTCATAATTAATATGAAAAACTTCAAAGAATTTCTGCACAGTATGGCAATGCCAAGCGCTACATATTTTATTCTAAACAAATGATGTTTCATTAGGAACTCCACCAAATCTGAGGTCCAACATTATTTTATTTGCCTAAGATGAAATGTCCTATTATGTACAAAAAGAGTTACTTTTCAGTTTGTCACAATCTATTAAAAACAATGATCTATTGCCTATAAGTAGGAAAGTTCTCATCATGGTTTTTCAAGGTCAGCCATAAGTATGAGTAATAAAGAAATATGATGAAGAGACAGTATTTGTAGGATTAAATTTGGAAAAGTCCTTCTTTTATAAACATAATGCATACAATATGTAGCATCTCTTTGAAAAAAGTCCTAAGACAATATACCCTAGCACACAAATACTCTTCTTCCTACTGTCTAAGAAACATAAATGGATGGTGTCACACTGAACATTAACTTCCTTTCAAATTCATATGGATTAAATGATAGCATCTATGTACAAAAGCAGAAGCTTTCTTAGAGAAAATTAACCTTATATTATCTGTACACCTGAGCCTGTACTTATAAGAAAAGTGTGAACGGTAGCAATGTCTAATAAAATTAACAGAAAATATTTTTGCATAGCAGGGTGAGGTTAAACCCAAGGGAAGTTTATCCATAATCAGATAAATTCCAGATCATTGAAGGGCAAAAATTCTGAATTAGTGCAAAATCTAGTTAAAATAGGTGTAATAGTCAGAAACCAACTGCTGCTGAAGAAGAATTTTATTATAGTCGATTAAAAACAAATAGAATCACACGTTTAGGGCCACTTTGTCCCTGCTTTCCCTTTCCCGCATTTCCCTTCTGTACTCTGAGGATCTTACACATAAGAACAAACCTCACAAACATGTTAGTGAACATTCAAACGACACCTACATATGTGGAGAGAACAATGATCTCCATTTATTTGTTTCATATACATCCATGTTTTGATTTTTTTTTAATACAAAAAGAAAAAAAGTTAGAATCTGACAAATGTTTACAAACAAGATACCTTCAAATAGATTTTACTCAGATCAGTCCGTTGCAGAGTAAATGATATTCTACTTTTTATATTCAAGGCAACAAAGTCTGTAGTCCATGACCACTTCGCCCAACTTTAATGCAAGCTTAATTGGTTTCCTCTACCGTGAACGATAAACTCAATGTTGATTCCCAGTTGGTTTGTGCACATGTGTACATAGCAGCTCCTTTCATAGAAAGAAAAGACATCTAGAGGTCATCTTGTACTTTTACCTACAGGAATCATGGTAAGATACAGAATGGGTAACATACAACCAGGGCTGGATTTATAAGGCGGGGGGCAGGGGGGAGATAATCAGCTGACAAATGAGGGCAGCAATAAAAAAGCGTCCTTTTGCAACAATAAATAAATACAGTCTAAAGTTCTCTGTGTGGAATTTATAAACCAGCTTCTTCACTGAAGAACAGATGTGGCATTTCCATGGAGTTAGAACTTGACCCCATTTTATGGTTATCTTGTTTTCTCTTGCTTGTTTTCTTTCCTGTCCTTCAGCAAAATGTTTTCCTGTTTCTGCCACAACAGCACAATTCGATCTTGACAAGAAAACGATTCTGCCGATTTTCATTCTTTCGTCCTTTGGACAAAATTAGCCAAGAATATAAATCTGATGTGACTGATAAAAACACAGTTTACATCAAGACTTGTCAGGACACCCTGACTAAAAACCTCTGGCTCCCCAATTAAAAAAATTTAGGCAACCAGATTCTTGTGGTTTGTGGTACAATAACACGTAGAACTTTAAGAAGCTGTCGACTGTAGTTTGTTGTTATGAGACCTGCAGGATGCAGAAAAGGGAACAAGTAATCAAAACCTTCATCAAAGCAGGCACCCAAATCCAACTACTTGGTGGGGAATGCACACAATTTGCTGCTCTCTTTTCCAACTTTTATAAACCAACAACAGTTACAAAGCAAGACTTTTTCCACCTTCACAGAGGCAGATCTGAACTTACACCATATGCAGCTCTAACATCTGAAAACATCCCGTAACACTCTGAGGCATGCACAGATAAAGAGCAGCCATGCAAATAACTTTGTTTTGGGAAGAGGATAACGTTTATTGTTAGTGGAAGAGCACTAATGGTAATTGATCATTCTCTTTCAGAAATGTTTGCTTTGAGGACACAACTGGTAACACCTTGGGCTTTATTATTATTATCGGACTTTGTTTTGATACAGTATTAAATGACTGACCATCTTCTACCACGGTTGTTAGCAAGTGACTGCTTCTGCATCAATACATTTTTAAAAAAGAAAAGGTAAGCTATGACAGGTTATAGTCATTCCATTCTGAGTCTCGCTAGAAGTTCAACTAAAGCTATCAGTTATCTGCAAACAAAGAATGCAGGAGACATAATGTGGTGGAAGTTGCAGCCAAGCAATCTAATGTTGACAAGAAAGCAAATATGAGAAAGGAAAAAGTGATAAACTACTGTCAGCTCAGCTGCAACCTGAAATCATTTATTTGACAGAGGAAACTTAAGAAGCATGGTCAGATATTACAGCAACACGTGTGTGTGTGTGTGTGTGTGCGCGCGCGCGCGCGCTGCTTTGCTAGCAGATATTCCCAATCTTTTAGTAAAACAACTCTGCCTCCAATCCCTTATAACTACTGTGTGGTAGTAAATGTCATTGAAATTGACCTTCCTTCGCTAGGAATGTGTCTCAAACAGACCTGGACATTTTATGGCCTGTAGGCCACATCTCACCCTTTGGCTGTCCATGTCTGGCCCGTGTGAAATTAATTGGAAATTAGAAATCAAATGTAAATAAGTGTATGCTAGGCACGCAATACAAACCGTATTGCTTTTGTTTTGAAGGATACTGGTTTCTGCACACCCCGCCCCCCCATTTCTGTATGTATGTGTGGGCCTACCCACCTTTACAGCCTTGTTGATTCAGCCCTCCAAAACAGTCCCAGTTTCTCATGTGACCCCTTGGGAGAATTAATTGCCCACCCTGGTCTACAATTTGATCACTCAGAAGAACCAAAGGACAGGATTAAGTTCAAAGCAAATATTTGAACACCACTTATAATATTTAAACAGATATTTAGGCATATCACCAATATGAATGGATTAAAAAAAATAACTATATCAATCTTTAAATGTACTTCTGCCTCGCTTCTAATTTAGACTGCATTTTTTTTACTGGGGCATGAGTATTATTGAATCAACAAGCTTAGGGCTGCATTTCTCAGATCTGCTAGAAATATTTGGAGACTAAGGCATTAAACAGATTTAGATGCTGACTATTTCAAAATTCAGCTTCATTCTATATGCTTTATTTTCCTTTTACTATACTTTACCCAGTTTGTTATTTAAACAAAAAGACCTTAATTATTTCACAAAATTGTATTTTTTTGGATTAATTAGTAGTTATTTGCCTCACTCTAGTATATGGAGAGAATTAGACATGGTGCAAAAAAATAGAAATGTATACGTTCTAGTGGTAAAGTGTATTTCATACCAACAAAAAAAATCACATTACATGAAAAAGCTACATACCTGCTTGCTTTGAATCCTTTTAATTTCTGTACAAAGAATGACTCAAGAACCTCTGCACACTGATAAAAAGGAGAGTCACTTGGATTGTAGTAACGACAATTATCAAATATTTTGGTCATGTCTGCTACAAATTCCGTCACCTTTTTGTAATAACGCTTCAGTATTCTTTCCTCCATGGTGGAAAGATCTTCAAAACAAACAAAGATTATTCAAAAACAAAGCTCAGAAACTTGCAGCATAACAGTCCAAACCCGCAGAAGTCAGAAAAAACCCTGACGTTTGACTAGAATGCCAGTCATGTATACAGAATATGTATTTAGGGCATTATGTGAAAACATTGAGCAGGCAGCAAGAAATGCTCCTTATCAAAGATTACCAGATCAAAGACAAGACAGGTTACAAAGATGTACTTTTGAAAATGCCGTTTGAAGAGCACACACTGAAACTTATACAGATGCATCTCCACTGGAGACCGGTTGGCTTTTATACTCGAAACTCTCTGGTTCGGGGTTTCCTTGTTGTTTAATTACCCCCAAGTAATTAGTGCATATAAACATGCTTAATTTCTCTTGAGCACTCATTATTTCAATTCAGAGCCTTGTCTGAACCTTTCAATTAGTTGCAGCACAAAGAACACACTGTGATCAAAGACCCCAGTTGGTAACTACCAGTCACAGAAATAGGCGAGCTTGTTGTTGTTTCTTGACTTTGAAACATTTTGTGCACTTCTCATTAAAGAGTGGGGAAAATAGAACGGTATCTAAAAATGTAAGGCATCAGTAGCACTAACACACCCTTATACTCACAAATCTATTTGAACTCCAGATGTTATAGCACTGCTAAAAATAAGGACAAGCAGACTTGATAATCTAGTTAGAAAACCCTCATAATGGTTTACCTAGGAATACAGGGTACTGATTAAAACACTGTAACCCAAGAAAGAAAAGGCTGGAAGCAGGCTGCAAATTTTGTTTGTATTTATTTATTTGTAGGGAAAAGGGAAATGGACAATGAAAGATCTCCCTGGAGTATCACTGTGAGATTCCCTCGTTGTAAAGATTTATTGTGCACTTGAGCATTTAAATTCTGTCTTCATGCACCAGATTTTTCTCACTGGCTGACCACAACTGACGTTTAATTATTTCAGCTTTCACTCTGGATGTAACTAAATAACGCAGTTTGCTAATTTCCATTTGACTGTTGATACCCAGAATTGAAGCTGTTTATGGGAAATAATGGAAAAATACAAAAATTTATTTTGGCTACAGTTGGGGAGCAATATTCTTCTCACCACAATTTAAAATAGAGGCAGAAACAGGAATTTTCATCTTTGGCTTAACTGAGAATATGGAAGATGCATTTCTAGACAATGGAAAAAAGAATTCTAGATCCTCAACAGCAGTCTAGAATCCAAAAAATTGTCAGCCCATCAATTTACAAACTAATTACTTTGTTCTTTTAGCTTCTCACCCATTCTAAAAGAAGAATCCTATTCCACAGAATAAGAGAATTGCTTCTACTACTTCTGTCAGTGAAGAACTATGAACTACCTTATTAAAAGAAATCTCATGATATATAATTTCAAGCAGTAACTTCAGCAACTTCAAAAAAAAAAGTATTATTGTCAGATCTGTAAAAACAGATTAATCTAATGGTAAGTTACACAAAAATGGGAGGATTGAGAATGAGCTAAATACAAGGTTTATAGCCTTTAAGCCAGGAAGAAGAAAAAGAAAAACTGAGAGAGAAAAGGAGAGGAAAGAGGTTAGAGTAATAGGAAAAAAAATATTACAGAAAGAGATAAGCAACGGGAATATCAGAATAAGCAGGATAGCAAAATAAAGGAATCATACAAGCATAGAGATCCTTAAAAAAACCACCAAAGTCTTAATTGCAGTTTTCAGAGCAGATTTAAGAATACAGATTGAATAGGATGTATAAATGTATATATATTGTCACAGTATTGTTCAATTAGTTATGGTATTATGTATAAACGGAAAAACACAATAAAGTGTTGGGGGAAAAAAAAGAATACAGCCTAAATGAGATTTCAAAAACTGAGAAAAGAAGCAAGAGTTGCTTAAGAGAGACTTCATATTAGCACAAAGATTACAATTTGAAAAGGACAGACTGAAGACATCTATGAAATGTGAACCAGAAATAAGAATATGAAATTTGAAGAAACATGATCAGAATGAATACAACAAAGCATGAACCTGCGTCAGGAAGAAATGAAAAGATGGCAAATGACCTATTGACAAACAAACAAAATGAAAAACAAAAAACACAATAGATGATCTGTACAAAATACTAAATATTTTGATTACAAGAAATGCTACAGAAAGACTGAATCCTACATTGCATTTAATGTGATGTAATATGCAAACCAAGACCAAAGCAAAACTGTGCCTCTTCATAAAGACCATGATTATGTAAAGAAATAAACAAATGATTGATATTGTTAAAATTGAAGGAGAAATCGGACTACATATATAGACTAAAGCTCCTCAGAATAAATATGTGTATTTCCACTGATCAATTGTTGGAGCAGATCTAGTTGTGATGTTATGAAAACAGAAAGAAAATATAAAAAATAGAAAATTTCAATCAGCGCAATTAAAAGTTTGATCCTTAGGAAAGCCACAAATGATTCAAGAATTTTGTCAACAAGGAAAAAGGGAGAACAATAAACTCCAATAGTGAATAAAATTAAGAATAAAAACACCACACTAATGGAGCAAATAATACAAACTGAAATATGTCCAGAAAGATATAGGAGCAGAAAATAGAAAAATGGTAATAGTGATGGACATAACTATTCAGCAAAAAATAAATGAGAAATATATATATATATTGAGCTCTCATATGATCTCATACAAGGATACCAAAACCTAATCCAAAATTTAAAATCTTATAAGAATTTGCCGTTTGGAGATTAAAAAAAATTTTTTTTTTTGAAGAAATCTTACTAGGTACTTTGGCACAAGGCACAAGATACTGTAAAAAAAGAAAAAAAAGAGCTGCATTGGCACAGTGGTTAGAATGCAGCACTGCAGGCTACCTCTGCTGCCTGCCAGCTGCCTGCAATTTGGCAGTTCAAATCCCACCAGGCTCAAGGTTGACTCAGCCTTCCATCCTTCCGAGGTCGGTAAAATTGAGGACGCAGTTTATTGGGGGAAATAGGCTGACTCTGTAAACCGTTCAGAGGGTCATAAAGCACTGTGAAGCAGTATATAAGTCCAAGTGCTATTTCTATGCAGAAGAATATTACGAGCAGTGCCCCTAAACCATTTAAGAGAGAGAAGTAGGGTTAACATCTGGTTTTATTGTATGAAATGTGATTCTGAATTTGGAAGGAAACTTGGGAAACACAAATGAAAATTGATTAATAATCATGTCTTGGGAAGATGGTTCTCTGACTGAAAACTGTGACTCAACAGGTTTGTTTTCAGTGAATATTTAAAAGATCATTTTACTTCACTTAAACTGCCAGTTTCTGCAGCAGTTACTGGAAATCTTGTTCCTGGCTGCCCCTTTTCTTTCAGTTTTTAATGAGGCACCAAAAAGATGGAATGCTTTCTCTGGTGAGGTGATGGTTCTTACATTTCAGGCCAAGAGAGAATTTTTTTTTTGCTGCCAAGGATGGATTGACAGCTTAATCTGCTCTGATACACTTATATGTGTGGTGCACCCCCAGTAAGCTCTGTATAACTGAGATTATTAAGGTAATTATCTCCCCACTTTCCTGCCTTGCATGCTACAGCTGTTGACCCTTTCCTGCAAGGCCTTCCCACCAAAATTGGAAGAGGAACTTTAAAAAAACCTACTATGGGTCTATGGATATTCTCAATTGTCCAGGTCAGTTGTGGTATTCAGCCGGTTCGCACCGGTTAAGGTGAACTGGTAGCAAGGATTTGGCATGGATCACCAAACCGGTAGTAAGTTCTGGCTGGCCACGCCCCTGACCCGCCCGCCACTGGCTCGCTTGCCCTGCCTGGCTGATGCTCACTCACCCCGCCTGCCTGACGCTCGCCCCTTAAGGTGCTTCTTCCCCCCCTCCCAACAATCAGCCGTTCATATGATCAGCTGTGTCGGGATTCCCCTAGCTTGTCTTACTGCTTTGCCCAGGAGGATTCTCTGAGGCCCAGGAAGGCAAAAAAAATGGGGGGGGGGGGGGGGGGTTTTTGGCCCCCCGGCCCTTTTTTTTTTCCCTTCCCGCGGTCCAGGGGGGCTTCCCGGGGGCAAAAACGCCCCCTTGGAAGCTTGCCTGAGGTCCCAAAAAGGGGGGGGGGGAATGGCTGAAAAAAAAAAAAAAGTCACGCCCACCCAGTTACATGTCCATGCCCGCCAAGCCACACCCACAGAACCGGCAGTAAAAAGTTTTGAATCTTACCACTGGTCCAGGTCATGGATGTCCCATAGGTGCTTTTTCAAAAGGCAACTGGACTGTGTTTTTTCCTTTGAAGATGTTTCACTTCTCATCCAAGAAGCTTCTTGAATGAGAGGCGAAATGTCTTCAAGAGAAAAAAACACAGTCCAGTTGCCTTTTGAAAAACCACTTTTGGGACTGCCAAAAGCTGCAGCTGTAACTGAAAATTAGGCAGGAGGGAGCAGTCCAATATTCAGAGGCATTTGTGATGGTCTTTGTGCAGCCTGCAGCCTGCTCACTACCCCTTAACCAAAGGCTACAGATACTCTTATTTTAACTATGCATGCAATACAGAATTTACAGAATATTTTTTTTTAAATCAAAAAGACACAGTATACTGTTAAATGAATCTCACTGAAATTAACCAACAGCAAATGTATTTAAAAAAAACCTAAACTTTGGTGAAGCATCACTTAAATAGCAACAGAACTGAATGTACCTCCCACTGCACGATCCTTATCCTTGTGAACATTTTCTGGGCGTTCTCATTTAGCAATATCACAAGAATCAATTACTGCAACTTATGGAGAACAGCTATCAAATGTTCCCATCTTGGGTGTCACTTAAAAATCAAAAAGTATTTTTGCAGTCTTCTTTATTAAACTCTGTGGTTCTTTAGTGCTTATTTTGTAAGTATTATGATTGTATATATTGTGCACATTTTT